CCAATCCAGTGGCACACCGGTCCGCTGTCTCACGGGTTTGGGTTATGCGGGTTGGGGTGTTACATTTTGGTATCGGAGCATTTGGTTTTAAAATCGGTCTTTGGACCCTTTCAAAATAAAATACAATGAATAATTCAGCCGCATCTGCATCTCACGTAACTCCTCTGCCCCGGGAAGGTAATAAGTATTTATAGCTTTAGCTGTTATATGTTAAGATCTGACTTGGGAATTTCCTTATTATTTTAGAATGAGTCAAGAATCGACCCACGGTCAGTACGTTCCGGAGCCGGAGCACGTGAGCGTGCACACGGTGAACACCGAGGGTTCGAGTTTCACGCCTCTGGGTAACGGAGGGCAACAGCAGAATCAACCAGAGCCAGCGGGACAGCCACCAGCTGTACCACCGCCAGTCGTACCACCTCCAGTGATGCCCCCGTTGGCGATACCGCAGGTGGCCTACGAGCAGATGTTCCCGGCCATGATGGCCCATTATATGCAGCACATGGCGCAGCTTATGCCCATGTTCCAGCCACCGCCGCCACCACAGCCGCAGCCGCGCATCGTTTCCTTCAAGACATTGAAGGATAATGGAGCGGAAGAGTTTCGAGGAGACAAGATGGGGGAGCCCCAGATTGCATTGGATTGGCTTGAGCAGATGGACCGGGTACTCAAGAATTTGAGAGTCCCTGATGCAGATCGCTCGGAGTTGGCGTCACAGATGTTTCGGAAGGGAGCATATGATTGGTGGAAGCGCATTGACCAGGATCCACACACGCCCAAGCCATGGACCTGGGATCGCTTTGATTGAGCCTTCACGAAGGAGTACGTCCCCACCCGGTACCGCGAGGAGAGGCGCGATGAGTTCGTTGCGCTTAAGCAGGAGGGGATGTCACTGCCTGAACTGAGACAGAAGTTCGACTACCTGTCCCAGTATGCGACGAGTCTGGTCTCCACTCCGGAGGATCGTTTGAATGAGTTCGTCAAGAAGCTACGGCCGGACTTGAG